TATCGGCAGTGGTGTGCCCGTGGTGTCATTGCATCCGTGCATGGTGACTCCCTCCGGTTTGCTTTTTAGCTGTTTTGGTTTTTGTTGTGCCTCCCCTTGGCTGGCTAGGGGCTATGATTATTGTTTTGGTTTTTTCTGGTGCCTCCCCTTGTCTGGCTAGGGGCTATGATTATCGTTTTGGTTTTTTCCAGTGCCACCCCTTGGCTGGCTAGGGGCTATTATTATCGTTTTGGTCTGCTATTATTATTGTGAGTGCGTTCTTCCTTGGAGTGAGTGTGTAATTTTTAGGTGAGGTGGGGTTCGATTCCCCAGCGAGTTTGGCGTCTGGTGACCCTCGTTTCTGGTGGACCCCATCCCTAAGGCATTGCACGCCTGCCATGGGTTGGGCTTAGACATGTAGGTCGGCGGGCACTGCACCTCCCTTCATCGGGGGCCCGGCCGTCCACCTTAAACATAAAAAAAACATGAGAGTTTTCTAGCAGAAGGTCAATGGAAATCTTTCACGGTTGACGTCATAACTTTTGTATAATTGACTACACTTGAAAACTTACTTTCATGTTAAAAAGGATTGTTGGGATGCCTTGCTATATTTTTCTAAGATATTTATTTTTTGGGTAACAAACTTATATCATACTTTAAATTTAAGACTTGGTTCAGCATCATTTCAACCAGTAAAGTAGCAATAACTTTTAAAATTAATACAGTAATTGGTTTTTAACTGGGAGCAATGTGTAGTCTTTTGTTCAAATTTGCTGTAATATTATTGGCTGTAAGATTCAAGTGGTGTAACTCGTTCGTCATTGAATCAATCATCTTTTACGAACCAGACTTAGTTACGTCACCCGAAGTTGAATTTTGCTCAAGTTGTTAAAAGATCTCCTTCGTAGTTGACATCAGTCTTTGTCAAAATACTCTTTCATGGTAGATTGGACTACATGTACTTGATTAACAGTTTTAAATCTAAACAAGAAAATATCAAATTAGGTAATAGGGGCTTTGTATCGAAGTACAAGTTTGGTTACAATATATTAAAAGTTAAAATACCTTAAAAATCTAATTTTTATCAAGTACTAAAAAATCTTCGAAAAAATTAAAAGGCATAGAAAGCTGTTTTGCGCGGTGACAGGTTACTTTCCCAGACGAAGATTATTGAAATCTTGAAATTACCAGCCCTTTACCTCAAAAGCGTGAATTCTGTTCACCTTCACGTCCCTTGTCACAAAAGATTCTTCTCCTTCAAATATTTATTTAACACGTGAGATCCATGTTAAATGATTTTCAGACACCAGATACCTTGAGTCTTAATATTACTTTTATTAGTCGAACCACCCAAGATCTAAAGCCTGTACAAGAAACACACTCCCATACCATGATCGTTTCTTAAGCATTATCGTTATCGTTACCTGTGGCTGAGTTTGCAAAATACTTCAAGCAAAAATCAGCAAATGGTGCTGATTTTTGAAAAAATGAGAAATAATTTACTATGTGAAGAGCTTAAATCAAGAGAGATTGTTATGTCTAAATGAGAAATCTCACCACACCCTACACCATACGTTCAAAGCACAATGATTCACAAGGTTTTCTTTGTATTTCACACTATAAAAAAAACCGTGCAACTGATTGACCAATTGTTTTTGTTAACAGATGATCATTCTCGCGTCTTATTGGAGGAAATAGAGGGTGATAAAAACTCCAGTTACATCAATGCAAGCTACATTCCGGTCAGTGACAAAAAAACCACGTCGCGGTCGACACAACGACGCAATACGACAAGACAAGATAAAACTGTAGAATGACGTCGACACGACTTGTTTGATATAATGGATAGATAAATTGATGAACAATGAAACAGACGGAAATTATATTTCAACTTCTAATTAATACAGGGTCACATACTGGTTTTGTGCTAGTTTATTAACGAAAGAAACAATAAGTCTTACAATAGCATTTTAGCCATTACAGACATTTGCTTACAGAAGTCTCCATGGTTCATGGTTCAATCATTTGGCCTTCAATTTCTAAAGCTGAAAGTGGCCGCATGTTTATGAAGCAGCCGAGACTTAAAAAGTAGTCATTGATACAGTATATTAAGAAAATAACTATGAAATAATTTCAAATTTTGCAAAATAGCATTGTAAAAACAATCTTTAGGAATTTGCAAGAGCAAAGTTTATCCGCTTTCAGCCAAGAGCATGGTATTTATTGGCTTCAAAGCTCCGAGAGCTTATAAAGCCATACTATGAAATACTTCTAACTAAAGGTATTTATTTGCTCCTCTTGTGTTTGTCTCCCCCTGAGACAAATATTTATTGTGGGTGTAACATCTTCGTAGTCCTTGGCGTAAATAAAACAAAAATTATGTCCATGTGAATAGTTCTTGGAGTGTTCAGTGTCTCTATAAGTTCAATCTGTCGGGTGGTTGGCAAATCCTCTGCGGATAACGCCTTAGTAGACCCCCCTGGAAATCAGTACTTCCCGAGTCGACTGCTGCGTCCATCTCAACTGAAGCGGAAGTGGTGTTTTCCTCCTGATTAACCTTTGTATCACTGAGCTGATCATTAGTAGGGTGGTGCTGCTTGACTACAGTTGTGTTTAATTTCAGTGCAAAACTCTCGCGGGATTATCGCTATCAGACACAACCACCTGATTTCCTTTCTTCTCTTTCACTTTGTAGAGTTGAGGTTCAAATGTGGTGGACAGTTTGTTCTTCTTATCCTGTTTCATGAGTACAAGGTCACCTTGTTTCACCTCACTCATCTTAGCATTTTTTGAAGAATCTGCATACTGTTTGTTCTTGAATTTCATTAGTTGATATCTATCTCTAATTTCTTCATCGCCATTG